TTTGGTGCCACTGCTTACTAACACCTCCCTGATATTTCTGTGTCACAGCATTTTTCCAGTTGTTATGAATGACTATGAGGTGATTCGGCAGATCGGAGAAGGTGCCTTTGGTAAAGCCTTACTCGTTAGAGACAGGAGGGTGGATGGAGAGAAGCTCTGTGTGGTGAAACAGATCAGCCTGAAGAAGGTAGAGCAACAGCAGCACACTGTCTGCAGGCTGCAGACCAAATCACCACCTGTGCTCATCTATCAAGGAATTAGGAAGCATGATCTTCTTTGGATTTTAAACAGATCCTAGTACTGAGAGATTTTGTAGCACACTTCTAAAAAACAAAACAAAGATCCTATTATTTATGGAGTTGTGATTTAACAAAATTTGCCTCTCATTGGCTTTTAATTGTCACACTTCATATTAGTTAAAATTATTCCTCATCTTTAAATGAGGAAGTAATAACACCTAAACTATGGTAAACATTATTTTTCTTCCCTACTTAGATATTTAATCCTCACAAACAGTTATCTATTTTTTTTTCTAAAATATAACCTGTGTTATATCATCATCATCCATTAGCTTCAGAGAGGTCCTTTCCCTGGAGCCAGGTGGTTTTTACCCTGAGCCAGAAGGTGTTTCCAACTAAAACCTGTTTTGTGTGTTAAAAGAAAAACTCTGTGTTTACTTTTGTCCTCTCTTAACCTTTAAAATGATTTTTATGAATATGAAAAAAGGTCAACATTTTTTAAATACAAAGTTGCTTTAAACATCACTTTGAGTTCTGTTAAGACTTTCTCATTGACAATGTAGTGTGTTCACTGTTTAGATGTCCTCGAAAGAGAAAGAAGCCTCTAAGAAAGAAGTTATTTTGCTGTCGCAGATGAATCATCCCAACATCGTTTCTTTCATCACTACATTTCAAGGTGAGAATAGATCCTTTTCAGAGCTTTCTATGTATCCATTAATGAGTGTAATTACAAATAAAACATAAAAAACTCATATCACTGGTAGATTAAGTTTTAAAAAAATTGCAAAACTTTTCCGAATTGCTTTTACTGACAGAATGGATCTAGCATTCTGGGATTAAACTAGTCAGTCTTGACCTGACTAACCTGTGGAGGAAACTAAAGGTTAGGATGATGGCATTAAAATAATAACAGATACATTAAAACAGGAAGTCAGGAAATTAGGTGGGAGAGAAACAAATTATAATTAAGAAATAGTAGAAATATTTAGAAAAAAAAGGCTACGCAAGTACTGAGTATCTAATCTACTTGCTCTTTAGCATCTTAAAATCTCCTTTAATATTTTCAAATGTCAAATTATCAAACAGGTTCAGCGGGTAAAATAAGTATTGAAGGCACCACCATTTTTCGCTGAAAATATATTTCTAAAGGTGCTATTGATATGACATATTTACCAGATGTCGGTAACAATCCATTCAATCCACCGATACAAAAAATCAAAGCATAGATTGCCAGAAATAAAGTTCTGTGTAATAAAGTGAAATGGCAAAGGGAAAAATATTGAACACACTTAATGAAATTTATTTGGTACTTTGTACAAAAGCCTTTGTTGACAATGACAGCTTTAAGACGCCTCCTGTATGGAGAATCAGTCGCATATGTTGCTCAGGTGTGATTTTGGCCCATTTTCCACAAACAGTCTTCAAATCTTGAAGGTTTCGTGTGCCTCTATTATGAACTATTATGATATTTAGTTCATTTCAGAGATTTTCTGTTAGATTTAAGTCAGGTGATTGACTGGGCCATTCTAGGAGCTTTATTTTCTTTCTCTCTTTGCTTGACTGTGTGTTTGGGGTCATTGTATTTCTGGGTTATTTTTTTTATGTAAACAAGTCTGTTCTTCAATAAGTAAAATTAATCATGATGGGTAAAGTCAGAGTAGTGATACTTTTTCGCAGTTTTTTTGTAGTTTAGTAAAAGTGCAGTACAATGATACATAAAAGTAGTTTTTTAGTTAGTGAAATAAATTTAACTAGATACTATCCACTCTGGTCAGGAATAATTAGAATTTCCTCTAAGAAACAAACTTCTGGGTTAAACTGATAGAATTCACATGTAAAGACCTATAGATCTTTTTAGGCTTATCTGTGGGTGTGAATGATTTCCCTGCAGAGAAGGGTGGTCTGTACATAGTGATGGAGTACTGCGATGGAGGAGATCTGCTGAAGAGGATCAACATGCAGAGAGGAATACCCTTCTCTGAGGAGCAGGTACTCAAAACATAACACATCATAATCAGAACCTCACCTGTTTTGGACGAATTCTCGAACTTAATGTGAGTCACTAAAGAAACAGGAAGAAAAAAAACGTTTTTTGTTAAATTGAGAAATATGTCCCAGACTGAGATTAATGTTTGTGTTTCTCAGATAGTGGACTGGTTCATTCAGATCTGCCTGGGCCTCAAACACATCCACGACAGGAAGGTCCTTCACAGAGACATCAAATCTCAGGTATTTAACTGTCGCTAACTCAAACACAAGGAATGAAAATATCATAAAAATCAACCCATTCATTCACTGAAAATGTTCAAAGTTGAACTCAAATAAAAGATAAACTACAAAAATAAAACATATAGATCTCTAAACGATAAACTCCCATGAACTTACGAGGATAACCCTGTTTTCTCTCTTCTTTTGAACGACATTACTTAGATTAAATGTTTTTATATTTTTTTATAGTGTTGTTGATATTATTCAACTAAGCATTTGACTTACATATAATGGGACATTCCTTTATTGTTAAAACAAGTCTGAAATCTGTTTGGGTCGCAACTCATTCGTAAATGCAGACAGGATCTAGAAAAACATTAAAGATAAGATAATGCTGATGCTGGTGGATGATGATCTGTTTAGTTTCAGGCCCGACTGATTTAAAAATAAGATTTGTTAGTTAAACTTTATAAAACTGTGAAATGTTTTATCTATGAACTGCTTAACAGTTGATGTTTTTATTTTTATTTTAATGGTTGTCGTGGTTGGAGGGGATGTTATTCTAACCATTTTACTCTGGTAGGAAGCTTTATAAAGTTTTTTTTTTGGCTGCGTGTCTTAAAGTTTAGATCTTTATTCAATGGACAGACTTTTATCATGTGGCGTTACAGTGTTGAAAAACACTCATGAGGCATGAGAACAAAATAAGAACTTCTCTGTCAGCTCTGAAGGCCCTCGGGTATAGAAGGGAATAATTAATCCTTTGTTTTCTCTTTATAAAGTTCAGTTCAAAGGTTTTTTTGTTTTTTTTTTAAGAAATAGTATTGTGTATTGATTTTATGCACAACAATTATCAGTTTAAAGCTTGAATAAAACAGCCAAACTTCCAGCCATCCGTACGGAGCATTAGCTTTAGCAGTAGATAATAAGGTCTTATTGCCTTTAAAAATCCATATCCTTTTTTGCAGTATAGAGGTACGCCAGTATAAAAAATGTATTAGATCCTTTTTAGATTATTTTTTTTATTAGAGTGTCTATTTGAGTCAAATGAAGATGTAACAGCCCCAAAATGTGCATTTGCCTGACATTTATCTAAATGTTTGGTAGTTAAATGAGCCTTAGTGGCGACGGTTTCCTTCGTTCCCTTTCCTGACTTATGGCCTGTTGGTATGAATCAAGTTTTTCCTGAGTTGCTCTGACAAGATGAAATTAAATCCTTTCTGGAGTCTTCTAGAGGTTAGAGCGAAAGGAAAAAGTTTGATTGCTTAATGTTTTCTGTAGTACAGGGACAGGATGCAAACCAACAGAAGATATTGGTATCCATGCTCTGAATAACCCCTCTTCTTGCTCAAGGGCTTTCAAATATAACATTTCTGTCGGTCCAAAGCTTAAAAGTCTTATTATAATTTTTAAAAAGTATGTATAATTAAGTATAAAGTAATTTATTAACAGATTGAAATCATGCATAATTAATTATCTTGATGAGACATGAAATCTGGCCTTTTTATTTATTTTTTGTAAATATCTTAACCCTGTTTCCCTAACCAAAATGATCAGTCTAGGTGATTGAAGCTGGCCTCTGTGTTTTAGCTTGTGGATAATAAACCACTAAAACACATCAGAGAATCTCAGAGAGAGAAAGAAATAGGTTGAAAAGCCTTCATGTGAATGCAGCCAAAACAACACGTCTGTTTTGCTCCACAAGTGAAAGTGAAGCGGCAGGAGGGAGTAAATGCAGGTGGAGTCAGATTAAGAGGAGGGGAGACATGACCCAGCAAGGACAGACTGAGGACGAGGTTAGAGTAACTGCTAAAAGAAGTCAGCCGCTATTCACAGAGATAACTGTGAAGTTATACACAGAAGTCACAGAAAATATTAGCAGTAGAAGAACTAATAAATGAGGGCATGAGGAAATAGTTATTCCCTTCAAAAGGTCACAATTTCACTGTATTATGTAAGGGAGGGTGTTGGGTACTAACTTAACTGTGCAGTTTATTTCTATAAAACATGCCATCTTGTGGAGGCCTATAATATAAAGTGGTTAATCCTCATGTTGTGGGTTGAAGCCCCACCCCCATGGACTGCTACTCTGGGTCCCTGAGCAAGAACCTTGACCCCACACTGCTCCCTGGGCGCTGCACAATGGCAGCCCACTGCTCCTCAATTTTTAATTGGTCAGAAGAATTCTTAACCCTAACATTTTTGCAAAATTGATTTATAACCACAAGTTTAGTCTATTTTATGCAGAGATCAACATAAAGTAACCTAGAAGTATGGTTTTCGATTTGTTTTCTTTACAAAATAAAAAAATAAATAAATCTTGTGCATCCAGTTTCGTTATACTTTCCCTTTTACTCTGAACACACCTTTCCCTTGTTGAAGCATGGTAGTGGCAGTATCATTTTTTGGGAATACTGGGCAGAGTTAACAGGAAAATTATCTTATATTGAAAAATACTTGAGAAGTATTATCATAACTGGAAAAATACTTCCTGATTAGGTTACATCGTACTGTGTTTTTTCAAACATTAAAATGTGGGTTCTCTAGATTACTTTGGTTTAATTGCTAAAATCAACCTTACAGTGTAAAAAAATAAATAAATAAAAGAAGACCCTTCAAATTTTGGTGTCTAGGAACACTTTGAGCATCCTTTCTCTGGGGTTAATCTAATTAATTAACAGGCATTATGATCACAGCTCTGTTATTGTCCAGCTGCACTGTTCTAAGATCAGATTTGCTCTGGACAAAGCCCCCACTCTGTGGGAGCTCACCAACAATGACAACAGACTGCATTTCTGTTCACAGCCATCACTGACTTTCATCAGTCGTATTAGTTTTCAGACACACTCACATCCCCTTAACCTTCCCCCAACACACTAATATACATACCACACAAATGTGCCTTTATTCCTGCTCTCACTTTTGCCCAGAATATCTTCCTAACCGACGGAGGGATGAAAGTAAAGCTGGGGGACTTTGGAATCGCAAGAATGTTGAATAAGTAAGTTAGCGTGATCCTCGCTCACATAGACACACACGGCGCAGCTGCCTGTCAGTGAGTCTGCTGTAGCTTCATGGAAGAGCTCCAAACATCTTATTATCATTCCTCAAAGTGACAAAGAGGACATGTAAACACAAGAGTGTAGAAATGGTAGCCAGCTGGTAGCGTCTGGTTGCAGAAATTGGTTTGATAGCATGATAGAGTGCAATGCTTCCCTGTCTCCTTGTCTTTATTTTTCCACTTTACTTACATTAAGAAGAAAAATGTGAAAGACAGACAGAGAATGGCAGATTCATTCATACATTTAGAGAGAAGTGGACAATTTTTTAGATCTATAGATATATGAAATCAAAGGAAGACAGGATAGGAAGCTTTTTTTGTAAATTAGATTAATTTACCAGTCAAAATATTTACTGTGGGCATGCTCTGGAGGCGCAGTGGTTAGCGCACACAACCCATGTACAGAGGCCTTAGTCCTCGAAGCAGCTGAATCAGGCATGTGGTCCTTTGCCGCATGTCTCTCCCTTTCCTGTCAGCTTACTGTCCAAAAAAACGAGTAACTAGTGCCGTAAAAAAAAAAAAAAGAGAAATGTTTACCACAGTATATTCTATAAGTTTCAAACTCATATTTCCATAAAAAAAAGCATCTAATTAATCGTCATATTTTGGCTCAACGGAGGGTTCAGTGATTGATTTTATTTCTTACTGTGCAGCACGCTGGAGATGGCTAGGACCTGCGTTGGGACACCATACTACCTCTCACCGGAGATCTGTGAGAGTCGGCCCTACAATAACAAAACGTATGTACATCTTGACAACCTGAATTCACCCAAAATCATCTGTACAGAGGAATTTTTCCTCATATTTATTCCAGTTATTTAGTTGCTTACATTGTTTTTGGTATGAAATTTTTGTACAATACTGCATTTCAAACATCAATGCTAAAAGATGATATAGGATTCTGGCCACCTCTTAAACCAGTGGTTCCCAAAGTGTGGGGCGCGCCCCCTAGGGGGGGCGCAATGCCATTGCAGGGGGGGCGCGGGAAGCGGTATGGATGAATGAAGAAAAAAAAAAAAAAAAAAAAAACAGCGCTTGCTTGACTGAGCATAATGGACAGTTGTGACACTGCAACCCAGATTTGAGAAGATCTACAGCAAAAAGCAGGCTCACTCCAGCCACTGAAAAGATGTGAGGATTAAAGTACAAAGAAAAAACTCAGGGTGTAGTTTGTTTTGTTGCAACCTGAAGTGTGAAATAAACTTCAG